TTTTCAGGTTGATGTTTCACGTTATTAAACCAACATACTTGTCACAAAATATTTGGATTTTAGGTCATTTATTCCCTTATTCCTTAAAACATGGCAAAATATCACACGATGCGATTTTAAACAGTTCCCTTTCTTTACATTTCTTCGCCCCTTATACATCTTTTCCAATCCTTTATATCCTCTTCTCACGTGGTCCCAAAACTTTTGATCTATTTTGTTCTATAAATTCAAGAGGCCAAACAGAAGAAATAGTATTTGCAGCACATTTTAAAATACAAATGGAAATTAATAATAATGCACTAAACAGACTGAATAGCTTTTTGATGTCTGGTATATTAAAAAATAAAAAATACCCATTTTCCTTTCTTGATAGAATTGTCAGATTATTTTTATGAGAAAATCCTACCCCATGTTAATTATTTCCCCTCTGTGCTTGGTAGTTTAGGGGAGAGAGAGACAGTGAGAGAGAATGATTTTATCAATTCATGTCCTCATGTCTACCCTCCCTTCTCTGGATACTCAGAGGATTTGATGCCATAAATCCCCAGATACATCTATTAAATTTCAAACAGAGGAGAAGCTCTGAAGAGCAGGAAGAAAGGATTGATCTTTTCTGGGCATTCTTCCAGACAGAAACTTGGCCAGGCATGTGGCTGAGGACAACTGTGTCTGCCTTGCTTTTGAGCCATCTGAATCACAGCACAGTGAAGCATTTGGAAAACAGTCCACATTGTATTAAGTAGCTCCCTATCTTTTAATCCAGCATGCAGCTCTGCTTTGATAGAGAATGAATCCAGTGGGGTTTCTGAGCTTTGTGATGGTGGTCATGAGTGAGTCTTTTCTGTTCTCCGCATTTCACTTTTACCAGATGTAAAATGTTCCCACTTAGGGAACTCGTGTGGATTTGAGAAGACAATGATTATACAATAACCCACGATGTTCCACTGTAGTTTCTCTACAATCTCTGTCATCATTAGTGCATATGCATCCCAAATTCCACATTTTACACTGTTGCCTGATTGACAAATTTTGTTTCATATTCAATGCTTAACTTGGCATGGAATTGAAAATCTTTGCATCCTTCTGCTCTTTGGACTCGGTGCCCACACACACGCTCTCACATGGGTTTGGACGTGGTCCTTGCATGGTGCATTTAGTTTACTTACATCTTCATAATCAATGAAGCCTGCATCCCAGCCTGGCTAGTGAGAACTTCCTGTTTCGTTTGCAGTAGACACTCGGCTAGGCCGGTCCCAGCCTTGTGTAAGTGGGGATGTGTGTGCATGTGTGCAGCGCTATCGCTAAGTGAGGTTGGCAGCCTCTGGTGGCTGAACGTCAATGAAAAAAGCCAGTCAAGCCGCTGGCTGCATGATAGCAAGATGACCATAGGAGTAAAAGTGGAGATCACTCTCCAGCAGCTCCTGAGCCACTGACTCATTTCTCAAGGAATTTTTTTTAACCTTCTTCTTCAGTCTGGTATTGACCACGCTTTGCTGAAGAATAACAAAACTTTCTGATAGCACAAGGTCAGAACAGTCAGCATACACAGTGTGTAAATTTGAATATCCAAGAACAGCACTGAGCCATAATATCACTGGGCCATAATATTACTCCCTTAATCGTTTCTGAAAATTCATTACTATGAGTGTATCTGAACAATGTGTAAATGTGGTTGTACATATATTTACTTCTTTATAGTCTATATAATTTTATTATGTATATATGTATGTACTCATATATATACTCCCTCATGGGAGCGAGTGCATATATAGTATATATATATGAATATACACCCATTATATATATATATATATATATATATATATATATATATATATATGGGAGACAGAAACAGAGAACTCCAAAAACTGCAAAATATATGGACACTTAGGGAAAAAAAAAATCTTATTCAAGTATTTTAATGCTAAATTTATTGAGACATCATGAGATTAATACATATGCATACTTTTAGTCATACAATGAGATATCTCAACATTATTTTATTGTTTTTATCTGAACCTTACTGTTAAACATTTCAAAGCCTTCCTTTTGTTTTGTCTTTGTTCTGAACATTGAACTTCAAAGCTTTCTTTACTTGATTTATTTTCCTCAAGTATCTCATGCCCTGGTCACACAATCTTCTTTAAGGAGTTCTGTCTAAAATTTACCGTTCTTGGGCCCAAGAGTCCTGTTTCCAAACATGAGTTTCTCGGTGGCTTGGTGGAACGGGGTGTACTGAGCATTGATATCCTGCAGCCCCAAGGCCTGTGAAAGAGACAGGGAGGCTGCTGCCTCTGGTGAGGAATCTGTTCTTTTCCTGCCTCTTCCTTCTGCTGTCAGGCAGGACTTCTTTATTCCTGCAGTACATCTGAGTTACTTTTCATTTACCAGCTGCATCAGTCTGTTCTATTACAGGGCATTTTTGAAAATGTAAATTTGTTTCAGTACGACTGCTATGTTAGGGAATTGTTTGAGGATAATTCAAATGTGCCTGCTTATTACGCATGGTTTTGTCATTAAGAAACAGGAGGGGATCTCAGAAAACTGCATGAAGCTGAAACTAGCTATGTAAAAACACACATAATACACACATGTGTGCACATGCACTCACACACACCCTGCAGACATTGCAGCCGCTCTCACTGAGCTGGAGTTGAGCTGCCTACCACTTGTGTGATTGTCACGGGTTTGCTTCTGAGTTCAGGTAACTCTTCATCATTGGGCGGTAACTCACAAGCTGCGCTCATTCTGGCCCACACTTTTGCAAGGGCACTGCAGATCTTTTACAAGGAAATGTTTTATTTGTGTGTTTCTTAACCATTTAACGAGCATGAACTGTGCTACTGTTCTAACTATGTTCATATATTTTTCTGTAGTACATAGACTCCCGCTATGCTAAACGTGTGAAGGTCCTATGCATCATGCCTCACTTTCTTTGCTTCCTAAACTTCGTGTTTTTATTATGTTATTTTGTACAGGAAGGTGATTTTTCAGAACATACATGTTACTAGTAATAGGAAAAAAATAGGAAGTTTTTCTGGGGAAAAACTTGGGCATGTGTAATGTACAATATTTCCCCTTTAACTCAGAAGCACTTACAGTTGTTTGGACTCAAAACTGTTTTCTGAGGTTGACTTTAACTGCACTGGGACCATGCACGTCTCTGAGTGACTGGCTTCTCTGCAGGCTGAAGACCCAAGAAAGGTTTCCTCATCTCACCTTTTTGCTTTAAAGCCCAACTCCTCTTTCCCACCCTCGTCCCTTCCCACCCCAGTCACTCTGTTGCTCATCAAATTTTATTAATACATCACAATGTCTTGATGTCCCGGTATATATTAACTTCCATCAGTTTTCATTACTTCTATTAGAATATATGCTTCATGAAGGCAAATAATTTGACTTTTTGGCAGCTCTGTCGCCACCACTTACTGAAGTACTTGCTACATTTAGGTAATACATATCTGCATTTTTCAAACCACAGGTTCTTTTTCATATATTTAACCCTAAAAGTTTATGGTCACTATTTCCTTGCATCCATCCATCTCAAATTATTTTAGAATCTCCTCTCCATGCCAACATCAGTCAAACATGCCTTTTGAAAATCCTACTAATTCCTCAGGAACTGGTAAACAAATTACATAATGATTCAGAAACCAAACATAGCCCTCTGAACTTTTATTCCACTTTCTAGCCACGTATTTTTCCTTTTGTTTTTTTCTAAACGGCAATTATTTCACTTAAATGAGTCCCTAAAAATAGTTCCCTAATACAGTGTCTTCAGTGGTAATGGAGACGTGCAGGAAGGTGTTGATTCCCAACAAACAGCAATTGGACATGTAATTAGAGGTGCTTGCTGAGCTAGGCTTGACCCATGAAGCCGCCTCGGAGACCACTGCTAAGTAACACAGACCGGCTCACCACTTTAAGTGGAAAATCAAGGGTTGAATTTCATCCAACATTTATCTAGTGCCCCCTAATGGCAATGCCCAGTGCTGGATGCTAAAAGAATGAAAATACAGTGAAAGGAAACACCCTCTCATGAATTAGCATAGAATCAAGAAAGAAAGGCCTAAAGGGTTAGGGTAAGTTCTGCATATGCATTCCTCTCTATGAGTGAAAAAAGCCCCAGGGAAAGGAGCACCTCCCTCCACGGGCATCTTGCAGTGGGGGAAATTGCTGAACTGACATTGGCAAAACTCAACAGGCACGAACACTCTGATCCTGTTTGATCTTCAGAAAGATCCTGTTTGATCTTCAGAAAGCTACGGAGGGAGGAGGGATCCGTGCCTGCATGGGTATTTCACCCAAATGTGCCCAAACTGCACCCCAAGAGACGCTACTTAAGTACTCGGGCCACAAGGCTGGCTACACTTGGACCCAGTCGATTTCTTTATTGTCCACTAGCTTTTAAATTGTTTATTTTTTGCTGCTAAGAATGATTCAGCAACTCAGAATTTCGGAGCTGGAAGGGGTTTTCTTCCTCCAAATTATATGCATGAAGACACGGAAGCTTTTCTGTTAAAAGGATTTGTCAAGGTCGAACAGCTGGTACAGCCAGGAGAACTCCCCTTCGGGGTCCCAGGTCCAAGCTGTCTCTTTCTATTTACCATCTGAGACATTAATGCTCCCCAAGTTTTAGTTCATTACATGTAGATTTGACCCTGCGGTAACTACAATGTGATGAAGAAGTTATTAATGGATTTATTTCCTACTAATAACTTCTAATTTTGAACTAATAACAATAAGCATGTTACACATTCAAAACACTTTGAGGTTTAAATGACATGGTGTAATTTAATAAAGTGAAATGTGTTATGCAATAAACTGAAATGTAAGTAGAACAAAATTCAGGTTATAGAGTATATTCCACTTCATTAGTTAAAAAAAAAAAGCCCTTGAGCTACCGGTGTAGCCTTTATGAAAACCTAAAACCACATTACTTTTCTGTCTATAGTGAACATGAAGTTTTGGGATAAAATAAAAGCCCCTGAGGCAAAAACTTTAGAGACATTATCTGTTTAATAAATATGATTGTAAAAGCAATAAACAAGAGCAATTATACATTACACTACATAGTATTTAACAAAAAATACATCAAAAAAGTCATTTTAAAATTAGAAGTAGTTCCAATACTATAAGAAAACTTTCATTGTTTTTAAATTGGCTTCCTATAAAAATAAGTTGGCAAATGAGGGGTTTCAATGCTCAGTTGGAATCCTGGAAAACACCGAACAGCTGCCAAGCACCCCACTGCTCTCAAAGTTGCTGTTTGGAACTTCTGAAAAAAGCAAAGCAAACCTCTGCATTTTGGACAGTGAATTCAACTGGGATAAGGCAAAGGAGAAACATTGGTTGGGTAGCTCAGGGTACGCATGCAGTTTGCCTTCGGCGTTTTAGAAAATGTTGCAGTATTTTTAGCCTGCCCTGAAAATACCTGTCACACCCCTCTCTCATCATCCTCCTCTGGCCCTAAGCCCACCGAACCCTTCACTGGGTTGGCACCTGCTATGAGCAAGCAGGTAGGCACTTGGGTCCCTCCCATTTGTAGGTGCTGGCTTCTTTCTTTTGGGAGTTGGAACAGCATAGTATGGTGTTCTGCATATACCACAATCACCTGGATGGTCTGTTAAAGTAGACTGCGGGGTCTGCTATGACCTAGCAGTAGGGACTCAGTTGGCCTGGGTACAGCCCCAGTATTTGCAGGTGACTCTGGTATTGCTGGCCTGGCATGGCACTTTCAGAACCTAGTTAAGGTTATGGGAACTGTGGGGTTCCTTCTCAACACTATGGGGTCCTTGCTTCACCTGTCACCTACAGTGTGAGGGAACTTCGAGAAGAGGCACGTGAGGACACTGGAGATGCTCCATCTGTCTCTTGGTCACATTTGGTCACTTTCCAAAATGCCAGGCATCCCATGTCTACCTCTGCTTTACATTGTGACCAACAGCCCTTCCTCCTTGGGTCTTTCCACTGATGTAGTTCATTAACAAAGGGTTTTCATACTAGTACTCTAGGCAAGGCACTGTGCGGGATTAAGAATGTTATTCCCCTTTTCATAATTTTCTAATTAAAATGAATTGAACTGCAACTCGGAGGACTCCCTAGGCTCTTGTGTAAGCCTCTTTTGATTTCTAAGCATGTTGTTTTCCAGATTAAACTTGGGAGGCTCTACTTAAAGAGAATCAATGAGGATGTTCTCTATGAGATAGGCAGCCTGGCAGGCTGGGGAGGGATGATACTCTACAAGGAGGCGGCCACGTCCAGCAGAGTCCCTGCCCTGATTCTGACAGAGGTGGGGCATCTTCAACCCTCAAACATTCTGTGTGACTCCTGCCTGGCAGTAGCTTTTCTGCTCTTCCCCTGACCGAGTTACACAAGGGGCGGGACCATCGGGAGCATTTGGAACCCTCATCATCACCAGCCCCTATTTTCCATGCTGTCGTTGGCTTGGAAACACAGCCATGAAACTGAATTTTTCTGGCCAGTCTGACAGAATTGCTCTCTTCTGCCCTTCATGTGGGCTTTGTCCAGACCTAGCATGGAAGGGGCTTCAGTAGCAGACAGGTTTTTTATTTCCTTCTTTCTCTGGTCCTACTTTCATGATTGCCCTTGGAAAACTAGAGTTATTTCATGCGCTGAGGATTTGAGGATTTTGAGGATTTCTTTCATTCTACTGTAGTCAGCTAATTCCTTTAAATTCATACTGACTTTTTCTTTACTGACGCCATGATAGTCAGAGATCAGAGAAGGCATGTCAAATCACTGAGATCACTCTAAATCATTGAAATCTCACCCTAATGCAAGATAAGACCTATTTTCTCAGATTTCTGGACACTTAAACATTAACTCCTCACCTGCTTCTCCTGGTAAAGTCAGTTTTATTTCACAAATATTTTTATTCTACTAGAAGAGAGAAATATTGGGCAACAGCTACTGTCACAGGAAGAAACTCTCCTGCAATACTTTTATACATTCAAAACGTATCTCACAAGTCTTCTGTAATCTGACCACACAACATTTTTGTTAATGTGTGCGAACACTGTTATTGATCTATACACTTTCTTTTCCAAAGTATGCAGCCCAGTTTGGATTTCTTTGCATGTATCAACTCTTTCACACACATTGCATGTTCCCAGGTGGGAAAAGGTAGGGATATTTGGAAAAGGTGGGCTCTGGAGGAAGAAACAAAGGGTGCGTGGAACTGATCCCTGCTGGGCAGGATGCGGTTTGGTTGGTGCACAGGGAGTCTGGCATGCTTGGCCATGTACGGAACCAACAGAGGTTGAGACTGGTGAGTGGTGGGAGCAAGGATGGCAGAAGCTAGGCCAGTACTTAGGAAATGTCAGCGTTAAATGTTCAAATTCTAGCAACATGTTTGGGAAGAAAAGGTGGGAACCCCTGAAAGATAACTTGGGGAGTGGAGAAAAAAAGATTCAAATACATCAACGGATGATGGCCACACAAGAATGGCAAACCAATGGGAAGGCAAAACAATGGTTAACTATCGGGGGGAAAAATCCCATTTTTGACATCATTGCGAATTAGAGTAAGCAAAGCTGCAAGGAGAAAAGCTGAATGGGAAACAAAGGTCCATATCTGACACACTGTTTCCCTGCTCCTGCTCCTCTTCCCTCCCCATTGCACCTTTGTACATGGATCTTCAATTTGCATCTTTCTCCCTGTGGCCACAGAGAATGGACAGAGAGAAAGAAAGAGAAAGAGAAAGAGAAAGAGAAAGAGAGAGAGAGAGAGAGAGAGAGAGAGAGAGAGAGAGAGAGAGAACAGCCTGTGGCCACTGCTGACCATCAGGGCTCCGGAAGCTAACTCAGAAGGGACTGTGACAGTAAGAATGGTGAAATGGAGAAATAGCTCTAGGTTTCAACTCCTGTGCATGTCTTGTGAAAAGGCGTGAGATGGCTAATCCACTCAGCAGCCTGCAGTGCTAAAAGAGCTGTTAAATCTACAGCCAAGAATGTTTCCAAAAATGCATGCAGATTTCCTTGGCCTACATATGTTATGAATTTTCTACAAACACGACCGATCGAAAAAAGAGAAGAAAGGGAAAGGGAGTGTTTTCCATTAAAATAGAGCACCTGTACACTACCCCTTCCGAACATGTTCTCAAGTTAGTGTCCACATGCACAGGCTTAAAGCTAAAAACCCTTGTTGTCTGTGTCTGAAGAATTAAAAAGTCCCGATGCAGTGAGTGTTTGTTTGTTTGTTTGGATTTTGGTGTTTTTATTTTATTGTTTGTTTTACTGGCGTCCTCCATTCAAACATTTACAAAGGTAGGGATTTCTTTTGTGCTTTGATTCTCAGCAACTATGGAAATACTTCCTGGCAAAATAGGAAACAGAACAACAAAGGAAAGAAAAAAAGAACATAAAGTTAGTGGTCATGAAGGATGATGCACTTGACAACTGCGAAATTCTTTCCTGATCAGCAGGTCGCCTGCGGCCTTTGGGGGTTTTCCTTAAATTGCAAATTGTGGCCCTGCAGATCCCCGCTTTGGCGTTGAAGGTGGAGTGGCGTGTCTTGCTCTTTGCAATCGGAGAGATGAGTCACCAGGTTGAGTAGAAGGGGAGGGAGGGGAGGGTAAAGCTACTCTCCTAAGAGAAAACATGTAACACTTACTCATTTAATGACACTGGAAATGCAAAGGTGTCAGAGATGGTAACGCACTTCAAGCTGTTCCTGGTGGAGAAGGAATTGCTACTTTAATAAACAAACAGCCGCTATGCTTCATTACCCCTGGGACTGGGACTGAAAATCAGCTGACCCCCAAAAATGCAGCCTGTTACACACTTTAGAAGTGAACAGACAGGGTGACTGCTTCTCTGGACAGGAAGACCGAAAACCCATTTTCCTTTTTAACCCAAAGTTATTATAGTTTTCCCTGTCTCCCTCAGTAAAAGAAAATGCATTGTGAAAACTGAACCCAGATGTGGCTGCAGCTGTTCCTGATGCTTATGATATTAGCCACAGACCTCTCCCTTCTCCGTTTGAAGACAGAGTTCTGTTCCCACTCAGATTCATTTTTTTCCAGCTAATAGATTAAAAATCTTATGTAAAGGTACTTTGGACAGTTTGGCACCATGATTTAGAGTGAAGTACAAATACTTATACAGCAATTTATCCAGCATAGCTGGCAGTGCAGGATCTAGATGTAAATATCCCCAGCTTCAACTCCTGCAGCCAGCAGCAGGAAGAAGCAAGGAGAGACATGGGTCACCAAAGGGGGCTTGTGGTCTGTCTACGTGCCTGCACAATTTCCTCTGCACCTCCTGGGACTGAGGAAATCAACTGCAGAGGCTACACCCACCTAGCTGTGGAATTTCCAAGTGTACTCCATAGGGAAGAGGAGCTCTACTAAATATGATGAAGTCCGTTTCAGGACTTTGGGTAAGAGGCAACCAAAAAAGAGGACAGCATCTGGCCACTAGCCTGTCGCAGTCTGACCCTGGGATGAGTCTTTCTCAGGAGTCCTACAGCTGCATCTCCTGCACACTTAGGCCCTCCTGTCCTCAAACTCTCCATTTGCATGTCTCCTAGGGACAGGTTCTGGATAACAGCCAGATTTAAAATAAAAATGCCCAGGTGGTCTGGTTCTCCCTTTCATTATATCATTCCAAGTATTCTGGAGCATTTCACCCTCCTCAGATCTGTCTGGAGCTGAGACTTTCATATCTTTCTCTGGTCATACACAAATAACCCTGTAGCTCAAACTCTGCCCAGCCGCCAGCCCACAGGCCCCAGCCTCTGAGAAGGCTCCTTCTCATATACTGACAGAGCAAATGCTAGGTTACTTGTTCGTTAGCATTTGAAGCCAGTATTTTAGGGAAAGTTTTTGCAAAAAGAAGAGTAATTTAATGACAGGCAAAAAAACTAGATAGGAGCAAGATAGAGGTATCTTAGTTGTTTTCCCAGAGGTGTTAGAGCAGAAAAAAAGATAGTTATGGCAAGCCGGAAAGGGGTTAGAGGGGGTCAGCCATTGACTACACAGGCTAGACGCCCAACAACTACCGGGAATCATTTACCTATGAGCTGTGACTCCACCTTTTCATCTCTAAGCTGGCCAGGCCTCCTTAGTTCAGTGTGAGGGACACTGGGCCTGGTTTCAATGTGACTGTCTGGACTGATCATCTCTTGTTCTTTCTCATTCTGCATCTGGGCATAAACATTAATTCCCGGAATCTTCCTAAAACATTAACAGAAACCATCACTGCTCCGCGTTGGAAAGGCGGGTGCGTGCTTCTGAACCTGTCAGGAAAGGGAGAATCAGGGAGATGTGGGTGGAGGGACACTCACCTCTTAAACTTGTAGATGACAAACACAGCCAGTCCTACAAACACCACCGAGAGCAGCATCAGCATGGCGGACCCACTGTGGGTTGGGGTGAGGTCCACCAGCGGGGCTGAAGGGGGAAACAAGGCAATGTTAGACACAGAGACTCGGGCAGGCTGGGTGCTTTGTGAACACCAGGTGGGATGCACACACCATGGGGACTGCACGAGCTGATACGTGCGATGTGAGTTTGTCCCAGCCCCCAAATGCTGCAGCTGGCCTGTCCACGTGTGATGGTGAGACAGGGAAAAACTCTGGGTTCAGGGTCGGATCTTCCAGACCTGCTAGACCACTCCCTGCCTGTGTGACCAGATCTCAGTGGCCCCACCTTAATATGCCTCGCATCATGAGAGGCAAATGGGTGGCTGTGAGGATTACATGAGTTACTGTACCTAACTTTAAACCACTTCTCGGTAACAGCTACAGGTTATTCTGGTGGTGGTGGTAATTTATAGTATTAATACTATTGCTCCTTGACCCTGGATGGGGTTATGCCCTAGTAAACTCACTGAAAGTTGAAAGTCCTAAAGACAAAATGCCCTCAATACACTTAGCCAATCAAGCATCACAGAATAGCCTAGACCACTGTGAATGTGTTCCAAACCCTGACACTAGCCTTAGTGGGAAGAAAACATCCAATCAAAGCCAATTTTATAGTAGGGTTCAGTACCTCACGAAATTCACTGAATGAAGCACTGAAAGTGAAAAGCAGAATTGTTCTATGTATGTGTGCTTGTGTGATTGCAAAGTTGCACATCCTCAAATCCAACCATCAAAGGGACCACCTGTATTTATCATAATACAGTACTAACACTTACTAAATGCTCCTGTAGTCTTTTCCACAAGTAAAATCACCAATTGCAATACTTTTATGAATTACTCAACCTCACAACTACCACATCCACCCTTAGATAATGAACTAGAAAATGGCAGAGCATGCTTACATTTTTGTACACAGAGAACTCGCAGCCAAGTAAATGCTATGCACACGTGCAATCCCTCAGGTGCAGGGCTTGAGGAGCTGACCACACAGGTCCCTCCACAAGTTCCCAAAGTCTTCTCAGATCACACCTCTGAGGTTCAGTCTTCCATATACTGACTTCTCTCAGAGGATTCTGCATGCATAAATCTCCCTGCACCTCCCTTTATAGGGCACTTTGAGAAAACATCTCTTTCCATCTCCAAATCTTTCATTGTAGGTGCAAACCTGTTGTGCATATAATAACTTTGTTTGCAATTAATTTCTACCCTCTCAAAAATGGTGACATTTTGCAAATACAGCATCGGCTCAAGCTTAAGAAAAACAATCTCATGTACTCTGCAAGCTGGGATGCTGACCTTTACCTTCTGTCAATTTAAACAAAGTCTGATACTCAAAAATGCAAGTGACCTTTGAGACCCATTTTCTGTGGCTTGTCTCTGCTGAGAGCAGAGAGGGCAGCATTCTGGTCATTCAGGTGAAAAGGTTCGAGAACAAGTGACTGTAATTTTGATGGTCTCAGACAAGACCTGGGCTGCCTCTGCTCTGTCTGGTACGTGTGGGGTTACAGCCCAGCGACTGGCTGCTTTCCTCCCTTCCCTGTGAGTCAAGCAGCATCACCCTGTGGAGAGGGACGTGTGTCTGTGAGGAGACAGGTGCAGCTGCAATTGAAACAAATGCTCAAGGCAAAAGAGCTTTTCATCGATAAGAAGCAAAGACTTCAGTGTCATCGACAGTCAGAACTACTTTAGTGCTCACACTGCAGCTGGAAAGACGTCATCGGGGAAGAGAATACCTCTCATTCTCCTAGACATGATCTCAATGTAAGATTCCACCAACAGAAAGCAAGGACTATGACCCCCGTTACACAGATAAAAGTGAAGGATCTACCATCGGTTAATGTCATTCCAAAGGCTGTGGAACTAGTATACTGGAACGCACATACTTGAACACATACACACATTGCATATACACATATACACATGTAGAGAAACATATACACACAGTCACACTCTATATACTCCACCAGTGGGAGATAACCAGAAACTTAAAATAATAATGGGTATCTACCCATTAAAATATCTTTAAATGCAAATGGAATCCTACTGAAGACTCCAAATTTAGAAAAAAAATACATCATATATTTATAGATGGAGGGAGGAGAGGGAAAGAAATTAAATGAACTTCATCTTCTTCCTGCTCAGCCTCACTAACAGCCGGACTTGCTTTCTCTGTGTCTCCTCTAATGCCCACAACCCCATCCACTGGATTGTCTGACGCAAATCGCAGATAATGTATCATTTTATCATCTGCAATTCTAAGAGCCAAAATTGCTGCTTTCCTGTCTTCTTCTCAGTTACCACACCATCCTCACATTAAAGAACAAGGAGATAACTTACAGGCAATCTTCAGATGCAAATCCTTAACCCAGCAGGGAACAAGTGGTAGCCCAGAGAGAGGCCACAGACCTTTTGGATGGTGGAAGGCAAAGGTACAGTTAAACTCCCCTTGACCCAGGTGAATGATCCTATAGTATAACCAGAATAACACATGAAGCCGGGAACAATGCAGGACTCACTGACAGGCAGCATTTGAAATACTGGAAAATTAAAAGAGAATATTACCTTGGCTAGGTTCTCAGTATCACAAAAGCAGTCTCTCTCTCTCTCTCTCTCTCTCTCTCTCTCTCTCTCTCTCTCTCTCTCTCTCTCCTACCTTCACTTTCTTTACCATAGGGCTTGGCTTATCTTTCAATTCTAAATCATTCACACTCAAGTCATCATTCTTAAATCAGCTGCATTAATGTCACTGGATAATTAACATACTCTTTCGGGAAAACAAGCTTCTGCATGGCAGTTTGAAAATGTGCACCATGTCATCTTCCCCCTGCCCAAACCCTGCAGAAACCCAGAAGATGGCAGCAGGGAGAGACCCAGTGGCACCACCCTCCATGTTCCCAGGTGCTTCTGTGTGCTGAGCTGGGCTAAGTATAAACGCATCTATTACCGTTCCACACAACAGCAGCTGCGTATCTTAGTTTGCCTAACACTTGGGTGCATTTGTGCATGTTGTGCTGAGGAATGGAATTGGGTGATAAATGGGCTTCGCTTTGTTGTGTGGAATTAGCATAAATTAATTCCTCTCCAATTACAGCCTCAACAAGGTAGACTTGTGGGAAGAAAGTGCTGAGCCATTATAACTACCCAGAACAAAACACAGACACAAGCAATACTCCAAGTAACTTGCCATTTCTGAGCCCCGATGCTGACACACATCATTTGTAGGATCCCATGAGCATCTCAGAAATGCTTGAATCATTAAGTTCTATTGAGGAGGAGCTGGGTCATTATGATAAGGGAGATACAGCAATAAACACATCTTCTTGTGAGAAGTGATTAGCATATAGTAAGTGATAAATTAACAGTTTTAGTTGTGCATATGAGACTAAACCCACTTAGAGTTAAGTCACTGATATGGTTCCCTTCTGGAATCAGATACTGGCTCTGTCACTTACAAGCTACATGCCTCAAGTTGAAATTCAGTTTCCTCCTCTGCAATACGGAAATAAAAGTAGCACTGAGGGCCAGTTAGTTGTGAGAAGGAGACGGAATCCATAAAGCACTGTTGGTGTCCAGTACACAGTACACACCAGCATTTCTTGTTGTTATATTATGATGAGCACACTTCTGAAAGTAGATTTTGTGGGAAAGGTCTTAAAAGATGGCCAAGTAGTTCCACAGTGGGGTAATTTAGAGATGTGTTACATGTGCTGTTTCCCCACCCAGAGATTCATGACATACATATCAGTACAGGAAAAGTTCACGGTCCTGCAGGGAAGAACTCACTGCAATTTATCACAGTGGTTCCAAGGTCACTGGGGCACAGAGTCCTCGCAGACCTGGGTCCTGTACACACTCCAGGGCACCTCTTGAGCACCACTTTCCCATTGGCTGCAACTTTGTCCCATGCTTGGTTTATGCTCAGGTGCCACCTTGGTAGACTGGGACATCACCCTTGCAGGCTGTGCAGATGCCTTATTGTGGTCCTGTGGTCACCCTCACTCTATGGGGACCTTTTTGGTGAACTGAAACCCGCACTACAATCCTGAAATTGTGAAATTATAACTCTGACTATACTTGCAATATAAAGTTAGTACTGCCAAGAAGCTGCAAAAGCAAGTTCATTTTACCTTCCTTTCTGCCACCAAAGCAGAAGCAAGACAAGCTTTATTTACATGCCTGAACACAAAAACCCAAGTGATCTAACCTTTTGCTTTGTTTTGATGTACTTTGGGGGTGGAGAGATGAAGGTGATATTGCTACAGCACCCTAACAAACAAACAAACAAACAAACAAACAAACAAACAAACAGCTTCTCTTGAGTGCAAGATGGTCAGAAAGATTTCCATTTGCAAAGCAACTTCCTTTGGCCAATGTGCCTTCCCTGTAATTCAAAACAAACCCAATCATGGGAGTTCTGGAGATTACTCCCCACTGTAGTGGCAGACAGCTATGGATTGTGGCCAGATGGGTATGGGATAGGAAGCTTGGCTGAAGGAATTCACAGAAGACCATCAGAGTGAGACATCTGATTCCTGCCCCCCCCATGTAAGCTACCAAAACTCAGCCCAGGGTAAACAGTCATATTCTAGGAAAATGAAACAAAACTGAGCACAGAGGCTGCTAGCCTCTAAGCAGGAACTTTCTGTTGGGATGCTGTAATAAGGCTACTTCTCCTTAACATTTCACATGACATTTTCTTTGCTTTTCTTACACATTCAATCTGTAAAAGCCATTACCCTTCAGGGAGCCCAGAACTGCCGACAGTCCACTGATGCCCCGTTGATGAATTGTTGCTTGTCAAATGAACTCTTCACAGTTTTAATGTGCTTCAGCTTGTGACTCTAGTGACTCCTGAAGCACTGTCATTGGGTTTCAATGGAGAATGTGTCTTCAGGACTCTGTCTCCTAGAAAATTGAGGTCATTTGGCCAAGCAATGACAACCAAGAGGACATCCAAGATCCACTCTCACAGTAAGTAAGAGGCAAGAAGAAGAGGAGGCAGCCTTTTAGCTTTCTGCATTAAATGCC